AGTCGAGTAATTTTGTTGAGTGTACTACTATAAAATGCATAATTAACGAATTTTCATTTTATTTTCACTTGAATAATTCCTATTAAAACTAAAAAAACTATATATATATAAAAAAAAAGAAGATTGATAAGCATAATGTTTGAAATTGGTCTTTGTTAAAGAAACATCTGCGTTCTTAATTTTTTAGTTCTCGATAATTACGCTTGGAGTCATGGCAAGTATTTAATAATACCTGTTCGTATCTTGAACAAACTTGTTTTATGCAAGAGTCATTTGTATTTTTGGCAAGGACAGCTGGTAAATTATCATTTATATTACATATCTGGTCAGCAAGCTGAGCGGGTATACGTATACTTCTTCAGTTGGAAAAGTTACCCTGACTTAAAGACAGCTACCTCGAGCTCATCGCTCCTTACCAAACTCATGGCAAGCTCATCTTTTTCTAATGAGTCTATTGTATTTCCATCATCGAATGAAAAATCGTTATCTCTTTGGTTCAAAAGCCTTGGAATCTCTTTTACTCTACTAAACAGTGTTTTGACAGTAGTGGGCAATTGTCTGGTTTTTGTTGTGTTCTTCAAAAATAGCTCACTCAGGAAAGCAAGCAATGTCTTCTTCATGAATTTGTGTTCCGCCGACACACTCTTTGCAATTCTAGTTTTCCCTTTAGAAGTCGTTTTTCTTCTACAATATCCTCATTGGCATTTGGGAGAACAACTGTGTAAAGCTTGGCAGTCGCTGTATGTTTGGTTTGGCACCGTATCGATCTTTAGCCTATCTGCCATGAGCGTCGAGTGATATCTGACTATAAAAAAACCTTTACAACAAGAAATTCACTTCACAATAAGAACCGCGTGTTTTTTTGCAACTTGTTTATGGGTGTTTAGTTTTGGAAGTGCTGTGTTGTTTTACAAAATCTCTGACCAGCGTTTTCCAAACAAATGCATTATATTTAAAGTTTCTTCTATTGAATTGTCAGTCCTGCTTTTGCTCATGAACATCGTGTTGCCTTTCATCGTTTGCTGTGTATCTTATATCCGTATTCTTGGCATAGCTAAAATGCAATCCCAAAAGGTGCATCATCAAGAACTACCTTCCACCACTACCAGTAATGCCGTCAGGAAATTAAGAGAAAGCAGAAACAGCAAAGCCAAAAGAACAATCAGCTTTCTGCTAGGTGCTTTCGCAATATTCTGCCTTCCTTTTTCTATCTATCACATTGTTGATGCCACACTTTCTGACTCATATCCCTATAAACAGTACATCGAGATGTTTGCGAAATGGCTTTCTTATTTTAGTTCTGCATTGAACTGGGCTCTCTATACGTTTTCCAATAAAGAATTTAAGGTTCCTTTACTTGGTCTGATTCCAGTGAGGATAAGACAACTGATAAACCGAAACCATAGCAACACAGCTGCTGTTTTATCGATTGATTGCAGTTGCAAGTAAAGCTTAAAAACAAGCAGTCGTCATGTACGTAAAGAAGCAATTGGGTGCAATTCCGTTTTCATAATAAATCCCAAGCATCAAACATCAGTACTAATTCTTGAATGCCACCTGTGAAATGATCTTACCTATAAACCATTTTTATCGAACACCAAAACAAGTTTTGAGTTGGTCAAAGTTAGGACACAGGTAACTCACAGATCGACACCATGAAACAATCTCTAAGCTGATCAACTGGCTGATCAAAGTCAAGACAAGGGAACTCACAGATCGAATGAGAATTCTGCCTATTCGCTAGGGTTTGAGTAGGGTTTGAGAACCAGTGGAGAAAACATTCGAATCAATCCATGTATCTATATTTATCATATAGTTAGGATAGTACGCGCGCGCTGATTAGTCGAAAATTGTGCTTTATTAGTGATCGGATCACAGGGCTGACGCCATCCGCGCGCGCGAAGTGCTGCTAGATCCTGTGACCGTCTTTCTTTTTGCGTTAATAAATTCAATACCGAAATAAAATTGGTAACGATATAATAAAAAGATTAAAACAGCTTCTTCCGTGCTCTGTTCAGTAATAAAGCACTTAGGAAGCGCCGTAACTCAAGAAGTGTGAGAAGCACGAGCCAACTCCTTACACTTCTTTCGTGCTCACGTCACTTGCATGCTTTATTAGTAAACGGAGCACAGAAAAAGCTGTTTTGATTATTGATCAAACTTGATCCCGAGTGCCGCGAAATCGGACCAGAGGATCCAAAAAAAAAAAAAAAGAAGAGGCAGTCGCACTGAAACTACGTTATCTTTGATTCCCCAATATTTAACTCAGGGCACTGATAACTGTCCAATTTGAACACCTGCAATTAAAACTGCCTTTAAAAAAAGCAAATTAGAGATCCAAAATTATGCTTTATGGCAAAGGCTTGATGGATATATACAAACAACTCTAATTTTAAACTTTTATTGCCAGCTCTCCGTCTTTTTCTTTACAATTGGCTCTCTTGAAGGCACCATCTTTGGGTGAGGAATTAAGTTTCGGTCGGTTACGGGACTGATCTGATCCATAAGAAGAAAGCTCAACACAGGAAGCCCATTCCTTTGCCCTTCTTCAATAGTCACTTTCTGCTATCCGTGAGATTTTATAAACTTTGGAAAGGAATCTAAAGTAGATTTCGAAAGTTGCGATGGCTAGCAGTTAGGCGACCGAAATATCAAAGTCATCTCCAATCTTGCGTGGTGTCTTAAAGTCAAAATTTTATATATTGATTTTTTTTTCAAATTTGACTAAATTTTGACCGTAATTTCCATTTAAATATCTTAAGGTTACTTTCAACCTTCACAGGGTTTTCTCGGTTAAGAATTATTTTTTAATAACTTACAGCAATTTTTTAAGTACTAACAGCACGCGACAAGGAATAACACGGAAGTCAAGCAAGCGTGAATAATCAACAAACAGCCGTGAGCGAAAATAGTTGTGAGCGTACTTATTTTTATTTGACTGCCTTAAAACCCTTCAATGCATATGAAATTAAAGGARAATATTTGTAAAGGATACATCTTTTAGTGACTTCATTTAGAAAAAAATCGTTCGACGATTTTGGAATGCCGCTTTTATCGATATTTTCTATCGCTTTTGACAACAAATGGGGTCATTTAGCTTCATATCAAAAAATCCATAACGTTAGAAAGAAAGTCACAATTTGATTCATACTCAATAAACACAGTGTCTATATCCATACCTTATTCTAGCTACTAAGGGTTCAGACAAAAAATTAATATTATGCAACCAAAATCCCTGCAACCCCCCCCCCC